ACAGGAACCGGCAGAGACTAGAGATGGATGCCTGCCTCAGGGCACATGGCAGGAGACTCACGGTGGGCAGGACGTCTTGGTTGCAGGAGAGGTGGCAGCGATCCCAGCAGATCTTCCCTGAAGGGGCTTCAAGGACTGAAGTTGTGGATCGCCTCTGGCCCAGGTGGTGCGATGTGCTATTGGTGGTGGTGGCGGCGGCAGCGGCAGCATCTGCCCTGCAGTGGTTGGCCAGTCCACTGCGATGCTCCAGCGGTGGCAACGGCCGAGCTCCATATGAAAAGCAGGCTGCAATGTAGAGGTCCGCAGCCCCCGGGGTGAGAGCCAGAGACCCACTGCAGTTCTCCTTCACAGACCAGGTTGCCCCATCGCCATTTTGCCGGAAGTCTCTGAGTGATTTTCAATGTGAAAATAAAATATAAAAACTGTTCTTGGAGTTATTTCTAAACAGAACTTGTCTCTAACCCTAACGAGAATTACTAATAAAAAAATAATTACTATATTTTGCATCTTTGGATAAATGCTTCAGCTCTAAGCACTGCCGTTGAGTATCCTCGGGTTAGATAGAGAAAAGGTTAAGATTCACCATGAAGTCATTTCTTATTTCACCAAGCCAAAATGGTCTCTTACTTCTTGCTAGTTCTAATGCTTCATGAAGCCACATGATCCTCATGGTATGCTCCTATATTACTCATATAGTTTTAAGTAATTATATCTAGTTTTTGAAAAGTATGCTGTCACGTGAGCTAAGCACATGGACTTCTTTATTTCTGTAGGTGTAAGGATTTTTTCCTATGCAGTTTAGTAACAATAAATATAATTTTATATCATGATGTGGTGTTGGATATAATTAGTTAATTTAACCTGGATTAATTTTCTGATCCCCTACTATAAGTTGGGTCATCATCTAGACTCTGTGGTAGAATGAGGAACAAAACAGGCAGGATCTTCTGGTGTAGGGAGACAAATGTTACAGAGAAGAGATGAGTGAAATATATAGAATGTGGGATCCTTTGAAATTCTACAGTTAGAAATAAAGACAAAAAGGGGGCTGGAGGTCGCCAGGGGAGCTCATTGCAACTTACAATTAAAAAATCAGGAACGATCTCAGTAACACAATGAAATTTTAGTGGAGATTCCAAGAGCTAAAAAGGCAGGTGGACTCCTGGTTGAAGCGTAGATGTCCTGAGATGGCGTCAACCTTGCCTGGTTGACAGTTAGGAGCAATATGCAGAGTTAGTTCAAGGACTGTTCAACATCAAGTCAGTGGCAATTACAGGAATCCAAAAAAAGGCTGCCTGTTCTTCACAGCCCAAATCCCAATATATGACCTCCACCTCCTACACAACCAAGAAGAGCCGAGACCAGTTTGTCAGACACAGACCCAACCTGTTCTCTCTGAGATGACGGTTGTGGTTCCCCAGCAGTGCAGAGTCTCAGTGAGGGTCCTAGACCCCAGTACTGCCTCTTCAGACAAGCAGACCCTCTGCGTGAGGCTGAGACCAGCTCAGAATTTGCTGGAGTGGACATGGAGAATATCTTCTCTCTTGTCCTGAGGTCCGAGCATTTGTTGTTGGTGTTAGTGGTCACAGCAGTGTCTGGATCATGAGATTGTTGTATTGAAGAATGGAGAGTCATCCCACTTAAAATTCTGTTCCTTTCTTTGGTCTGTCTGTCATCGTTAGACGTTGGGGCATTTTCCAGTGGCCACCTGATAAGATTAGCCAAGGCTTGAACAGAAATATTTTTATGTCAAATATGCATTATGGAATCTCAAACTGGAACTATTATATTTAAAGTAAACTAGGGAACTGGGGTTCACACTGGATTATTTCACAGGGCTTTGTGGTCATGTTCCCCCATTGACCATTTGCAGGACACATGGGACTAGGGTTCAAGGTTCATTGCCTTTCTGGGGGAGGGAAAGAGAAAAAAAAGAGAGAAAGGAGGAAGGGTCACATCACACCCACCAAGATATCAAACTGGTCCTACAGAAGCACCAGTTTAGGCAGTGAGCATGTCCCCTTGGAAGGGAGGTGGAAGACAATCTCAAGAAGATACAAACCCCAAAATGTGAAATTGGGTGGACAGGGCAGCAGATGGAGATTGACCAGCAGGGGGAGCGATGGCTTTTGCAGGAAATTCTCTGAGCATCTAAGAGGGGGATCCTGTTGGGGTCCCTTTCCGAGTCTCACTTTTCCTGTCTTACTCACTGATGTGCAGGAAATTCTGAGTATTAGAATCTCAGTGATCTGCAACACCAGTATGGACATAGGTTCCTTGAAGAAGTTATGTTCCCCCTCACTTCACTTTTCCCTGTGTCTTGGAGGCTGCTTTTTTTATAGGCAAAAATCTGGTTTTTTATAGGCAAAATCTGGTTTTCAGCAGCGTTAAGGCCACCCAAGAGAGTGCGTATCAGTGAAATCGAGCAATAGCAAAGGTGCATTTTGTGTGTATCAACTTTATGAATACAAAATCCATATTTTACTGGACATGACTGGAAAATGCTGATAATGAGTGTATTGTGGTGTGGTGCTTGTTGCTCTATTCTTCAAACTTTAGTTCACAACCCACTCCAACCTTAGTGGGAAAAGGCAGTTGGACTCCTGGGTGAAGTGTAGATGTCCTGAGATGGAGTTAGCCTGGCCCGGTCGATAGTTAGGAGCAATATGCAGAGTTAGTTCAAGGATCACATAACATCAAGTCAGTGTTGCAGGAACCCCCAAAAGGCTGCCTGTTCTTCACAACCCAAATCCCAATATGTGATCTCCACCTTCTACACAACGGAGAAGAACTGGAACTCACATAGGATTCTTCCACAGGGCTTTATGTGAGTTGCATGAATTAATACTATACTTTGTGAGAATCTCATGAATTAATACTATACAAGTCTTGAAAAGCAGATGTGTGATCTGGGTTTGTTCAACAAAACTCTTAACACTTGATGAGAGAGCATGGTGGTTTTTCCTAAGAACTAGTGACTGTGTGAACTTGAAGCTGACAATGATTATGCCGCCTAAATCATAGGCGATGCCTTTGAGAGTGAATGCAATCAAAGTGAAACTTAGTGACGAGACAGAGAAGCAGATATTGAGGGCAGCAACCTTATTTGTGCTTTTATTTGTGTCTGAAGTCACTGCTCATCTCTGATACTTCTAGAATTTGGAATTATGCTTAACATGTTTGATTTAGTAGAATGATTTGAGTTCCTCCAGGTATAGTCCCAGAAGGGAGTTTGCTGGGTGTTATGGAACGCCGATTCTTAGATCTTTTAGGAATCACCACACTGTTTTCCACAGAGGCTGTATTAGTTTGCAATCCCACCAACAGTGTAGAAGCATTCCCTTTTCTCCACATCTTTACCAGCATCTATTGTTTTTTGAATTACTGATGATGGCCATCCTGACTGGAGTTAGGTGATTTCTCACTGTGGTTTGGATTTGCATTTCTTGATGATTAGTGAAGCCGAGCATTTTTTCATTTATCTGTTGACTGCTTGTATGTCTCCTTTGAGAAGTGTCTATTCACATCTTTTGCCCAGTTTTTTAAATTTTATTTTAAAGATGTGGTGTACTCTTCAGGGTTAGGTATACAAATGTTCGTTATGCAGGTACCCTTGCTGTTGAGGTGTGCTCCTCCCTCTCCTGGCAGTTTCCCTCAACTGCCAATCCCACGCCCCTCCTTCCCTAGCAGTTTCCCATCACTGCCAATCCCTTTTTTATAGTATTATGATAATTACTCATGGTCCACTTAGAAGTGAGAACATATGGTACTCTGTTCTTTGTTTCTGTGATAGATCACTGAGTATGATCGACTCTAAATCCATCCAAGTTGCTGCAAAGTCCATATGTTTGTCCTTCTTTATGGCTGCATAATATTCCATTGTGTATATGTACCACATTTTTTTTTATCCAGTCCAGCTTTGATGGGCAGCATGGTTGCTCCATGTTTTTGCTATTGTGAATAGAGCTGCAAAAACATGCATGCGCAGGTATTTTTTTGTAGAATGATTTGTGTTCCTCTGGGTATATTCCCAGTAGGGAGATTGCTGGGTCATATAGAAGGTCAATTTCTAGTTCTTTCAGAAATTGCCACACGGTCTTCCAAAGAGGTTGCACTGGTTTGCATTCCCACCAGCAGTGTAGAAGCGTTCCTTTTTCTCCACATCCTCTTCAGCATCTGTTGTTGTTTGTTTGTTAATGATGGCCATTTTTACTGAGGTTAGTTGGTATCTAATGTGGCTTTGATTTGCATTTCTCTGATGATTAGTGAGCACTGAGCACTTTTTCATGTGTCTGTTGGATGCCCGTATATCTTCTTTTCAGAAGTGTCTATTTATGTATTTTGCCCACTTTTTAATGGGGCTGTTTGTTTTTTTCTTTTCAGCACGTGAGTTCCTTGTAGATCCTAGATGTTATTTTTGCCCACTTTTTCATGGAGCTTCTTCCCTTTTCCTTTCTGTACATTTGAGTTCCTTGTACATACTGGATGTTAGGCTTTTGTCAGATATATAGTTGGCACATACTTTTTCCCCAGTCTGTGGGCTGTCTCCTAACTCTGTCAGTAGTTTCTCTGGCTTTGCAGAAGTTTTTCAGTTTGATGAGGTCCCACTTGTCTATCTTATCTCTTATGGCATCGGTTTTTAGGGTTTTGATCAGGAATTGGCTGCCTATTCCAATTTTTGTAAGGGCGTTTCCTGTGTTTTCCAAGATTCTTATTCTACCTAATCCTGAATTGCACCCCACATCTTTAAAATAAAATAAAATAAAATAAATAAAAATGTTTAATTTGGGATTACTAAATTATTTTGTGGTACTTGCAGCACAAAGTGTATCGAGTAGAACACATGTTAACATCCAACAGTTGCAAACACAGATAGCTTGCTACAAGGACTTTATTTGCCAGGAGGAAAGGAAATTGAGGACAAGGTACAGGAGTGATTAATAAAAGCTTCCTTCTAGGTGAAAACCAACCATGAACTCATCTTCCTCTGTTCTCCATGCTCAGCGGCAGCAGAAGGTGTAGCGGATCCCACCAGAGGTGCAGGTCCCGTAGATGCGTTCCAGAAAATAGCACGCTCTTATTCTGCAAAAGCAGACCAAGCCCCTGGTGGATCCTGGGGACACAGAGAGAAGCAGGCACAGGCCAGATAAGAGGCAGGTGGGGAAGAGCATCCCCGTGGAGATCCCTGCTGGGCTGCGTGTGATGGTTGTGGAGGCCCTGTGACAGCAGCAGTGTGGTCACCCATCAACAGGACCAGGAGACACAGTAGTGTTGTCACTCACAGGACTGCAGACCTGTTCTCCCTTCTCAGCTTGAGGGCTCCTACCCATCACACACATGGGAACACACCCCACCCCAGCCCCATCTCCAGTTTCTAAAGCTCCTCTAACAAAATAAAACGTGTTTCTTTAAAAGGGGCTCTCACTATTGCCTTGCTAAGCTATGATGTGACCATGTTTGCTTAGTTTTGATCCCCTCCCCTCCCTTGGGGGGTGAATCTCCTCTTTCTCTCTCTCTCCAATTTACTTTCTATATAAACTATATTTTCTAATCTAAAAAATACAATAAAAGGGGCTCTCATCTATGATGCAGGAGTCTAAATTGAATAAGATCCATGAATTTCTCAGACGTGTCGAAGAAGAAAACATCTTTGGAGAAAAAACATCCCTGGAATATTATCTGCTTCTATCTTTTTAGTATATACACGAAAGGAAATTGAGATCTAAGGAGGTAAGCACCTCAAGAGTTAGTCAATAGTTGGGTCTGGTTCTAGAAGTGTCTGGATTTTCCTCTCTCAACTCCAAAGCTCTGCAATGTTGGGGCCTCTTACCTGAAGCTCTAAGACCTGAGCTCAAATCCTCCGTGAAGGAGATGGCCATGTCCTGGTCCTCTGCCCCAGGCTGCTCGTGGGCTGGATCCTCATCAGCTCTTGCTTGAAGTGGCTCAGCCTGGACCTGGAGGGCCACGAGGAGAATGGCAGTGAGGAGGGCGAGGGTCTTCATGGCTGGAGTCACCTGGATGGTGGAGAGCAGGAGTCTGAGTGTGCAGAACGAGGAGTCAGCCTGGATTTATAGGTCTGTAGGAGAAGGCTCCGAGACAGATGCTGCAGTGAGAGGAGGTGTATGTTTGGGGAGGGCGAGGCTGACCTCATCCTCAAGGTCCTTTTGATGCTCCTCTGTTCTCACAGCTTTCATCATAGCGAGGCTCTGTGTGTTTAGTGTTTGTCCTTGGTCCAAGCTAATAGTAATGCCAAGGACCTTGTTGTATTTCTCTGTTTCCCATCTGCTTGAATATTTACTTATCATGTTCAAAAAGTAAGAAAAACAGTGCTTTCATTCAATCAGTTCAGGGAACAAGTGCCTCTTATGTTCTGAAGATGGCCCTTCCTACCCTCAGGAGGTCTAGACCCTCAGGCCAGACCTGGACCCCAACAGAATAGAGAGAGTTAATGCATCGCAGGATCCAGGGGGCATTCCCACCCTCATGAAGGAAGACGTTGAGGTTATGGGATAAGTAGGATCTTGTTGGAGTCTGTGTGGAGAGGACAAAATGACTTTACCCGACAGTGGGTGAAATGAGCCTCATGGATATTGAGTAAAGAGTTGGTCAGACCAGAGTCAAAGGACAGATTTAATTCAAGAAACCAATATGATCTAACTATATCACACAAAACGTGTACCAGTTACATCTCTCCCCTTGGAGAAATGTCAAGTGATTGACATGTCTACGACACCCTTCTGAAATTTGATTACCTAAAATTTTACAAAACTTTAAATCATCATTAAGAGACATTCAAAAGGGAGAAAGAGCTGGGCTCAGTGGCTCAGCCTGTAATCCCGCGCCTTTGGGAGGCTGAGGTGA